AGGACACAGGGCCGAGACAGTCCACTCTCGGGGTGGTGGCGGCACGTTACCCCTAGACTAGCGAGTGTGCTCCAGGAGAGGGGTCGGCCAGACATAAGGCACCCCAGGGAGGCATTCGGAGCCTGGAAGGTGGTCAGGCCCGCCTCATGTGGTGGAAATAGCAGTGGGATACGAATACCCAGCTGTTTTTCTGAGGTGGGATCGCTGCACCCGCCACAGAGGTCAGTTGCCTGATTCAGATTTTCCCTTTCTTAAATGTCAGGGGAGGAAGGAGCAAGGAGGAGGGTAGGGGAGGAAGAGGGGGGGACTAGTACCTAGTATGGCAGGGAAGCGGTTGGGGAACCATAATGGGTCCAGTCCTTGTGATATCACAGCGCTGGCCCCTTCCCCCAGTCTGTCTGCACCCACTGCTGGCAACAAGCTGGGTTGGGGCTCTCTAGACCCCAGTGCAGCCACTTGCAGCCTTGGCCCCCAGGTTGCCACATGGTGACGGCAGCAGCAGGCAAGGGGATTCACCAGCTTGTTGTTCCTAGCACACAATCCCTGCCACAGACCTTTAAAGCCATAGGCAGCAGCAGCAGCAGGCATGAGGCTTTCCTAGCCCACTGCTGCTGCCCAGAGAACAAGTCAGTGTGGAGGGGGGCCAAGCCCCAGTAGATCCATGTTATCAGTTAATTATATAACTGATAACATTAAGGGAGCTTAATTGGGTACTTAATTAGTATTTACATCCTTAAACCATACCAGATTTGGTGATTCAGGTTGTCTTTGATTTTTCCTTCTCTAATTTTAGTGCAACAAGCTCTGTAAGCACAGAGTGCTTTACATTAGGCTGGCCCAAGTAGCTTATTCATTTTTGGAATATTATCTGTAAATCAGGTCTGTCTAACTTCTAAGCAGTCAGAGGCTGACTGCCTGTGGGCCACACCAGCTGGTGGCTCAGCTTCCTGTGTGGGCAGGGGCAGGAAGCAGAAGCCAAAGGAGGGCTGCAGTGACGGGCAGATTTACATATATGGTGGCAACTGGGTCCAAAGTACTCATGGCATGAGCAGCTCTATTTCAGCTGACCATTCCTAAAGTTTGCTAACTCTCTGTATAGAACAAGTGTTGTCTTTTGTCAATATCTTAGTTTTGGCACTTGACAATACAGTTTTTAAATTCCACATAAAACATACCTGGTAATATTAAATCAGAAGGTATGGTTTATTTTGTTGGCAGAGCTGTAAAATATCTGAGGTTCTCTTAAGCATTGGTGCTCAACTTTTTAGCCCCACAGGCCAGATGAGTGACACAGGGCTGGCTTTCACACTAGATTGGGCCCTGTGTACTGGGGTTGGGCCTTGGCTGGCCATTTAAGGCTAGGAACGGGGGACTTGCCTGCCAAGGTTGGGCTCTGCACCAGCTCCACCCCCTGGGATTGAACCCCACATGTTGGGATTGAACCTTGGTTCCCCATATCCTGTATCTGTTTGGCCCCTCACGCTGGAATCGGGTCCTGTACCCCAGGGTTGGGCCTTATACTGGCCCTGCCTGACTGCACACCAGGATCATGCCCCCTACATCAGGATCATGCCACCCTGCGTACCTGATGTTGTGCAGAGGGCCACCTGTCCGGCCCACAAGACCCCGCAGGTACAGAAATTTGGCATCAGGAGCAGCAACTGTTTCCCCCATCACCGAATTTTCAGACCTGTGAGAAGCTCTGAAGGGTGGATCTGGCCTGAAAGGTGGGGTTGAATACCCCGATCTAGAGTGATATCATGAACAACGAAGTTATGATGCTTCCACTTCCTTCCTTATAAGCAGGGATCCGGGTTTTCTGTTTCCCACGGGGGAAAAATGTGCAGATTTTCCCTTTTAACTGAGGAAAAACACGGTTCATTTTAACAGAGAAATGTCCTGATTTTCCACTTTTGCAAATTGCTCTCTGCAGGCTGGCAGAGTTCCAGCCTGTAAGAGTCTGAGTGGAGCGGGAGAAGGGTAGTCAGGCAGGGTGTACCATGTGCATGTGTGCACTCACACGTGCACATGGCCACCAGGAAGCCTGGAGAACAGTTCCTTGTTGGTAAGTATGGCAGAGGGGAGTGGGGATTGAGGCCCCCATAGAGAGGGAGGGAGAGGAAGTGAGTTGGGAAGGGCTGCTGCTGATGCTGCTCAGCTTGGACAGTGTTTGTGGCCCTGGGCCAGAATGTGGGACAGCAGGGCCCCAAGGGGGAGTCGGGCAGAACTACAGGTGGCTGGGGGGGTGGGGGCTGACTCCTTGCTGCTGTGCACACTCCTGGGAGGTTGAGGGAGGGGGGGACATGTGTCTCCACCCAGATCTGTGTGCAGGGTTGGGGCAGGCTCCCTGACCTGCAGCCCTCCCCTTGGGGTCTCTGCAGTCTAGCAGGTGGGACCTGGTGCAGCAGAGCAGAGTAGGGCCGGGTGGGGAAGCTCCTTGCCACTGGAAGCCCCATGCCACCCTGGTGAAGTGCCCCCTGCCTTCCCAGCAGCAGCGGGGATGGCAGTGGCACGGAGTTGTGTCCCTTACTGCTGGACAGGCAGGAGGTGCCTCACCATGGTGGCATGGAGCTCCCAGCAGTGGCATTGAGCTTGCCTACCTTGCTCTGCTTTGCCGGGTGCTGCCAGCTGAGTCACAGAGGCTGAGCCCGCAGTGGGCAGCCCACCTCCCCCCCCTGCCATGGGCTCTGCTCTGGCCATGCTGCCCATGGAGGAGGGGGAGCCAGGCTCTGTGCTCTGGGGTCTTCAAGCAGAGAAAACCAGAATCTCTGCTTATAAGTATACTTGTATGTTTTTCATAATTTTAGATAAATATTGATGTATGAAATTGAGGCACAAAAAATCACACTTATGCTAAACTGAGGTTAATAATGATATTACTTATCTTTCTAGACCTGCTAAGGCTTGGGATGGTGCTGCTATTCAGTACTTCCAAAAGCTGCTCAGAGGTAAAGAAAAATATGCTGCCAAAATTGCCAGCAGCACTTCTCTTTCAGAAGAACAAGTTGCAAGGATAACACAGCACTTTTGATTCTGTATGTTAGATTGTGGCCCAGAATGTTATAGAAATGCAATGCAACTTAAGTTGTTTCTGGTTTTGTTTGCTATAAACAGTTGTACAGCTTGATTCAGTCCTGATTTCCTTTATGAATGGACCAAAATCCAGGGCTGTATGTCCTTCCAAGCCTCCCTAGTTGTGTAGTTGACTAATTATTGTTTCGAGCTAGGGGGTATCTTGGACATGTTCCTAAAGGCAGACCACCTATCTAATGTTCTTAGCCAACAGGACATTTCAGTCCAGATGCCTTAGGTTAGTGATTGGCAAATTTAGGAGCCTTTTAATCCAGCCTGTGGATGTGGGGTTTCAGCAGCTGGGGTCTCTGGCAGAAGTTGCTTTCCTGTGCTGCTCCGAGGAGAAGCATCGACTGCAGGTGTGCTCCCCTTGCCACCCTGGAGTGGAGCACTGGCTGCAGCTGGGTTGTACCTTCTACCTGCCTGTCCACCTCTGATTGAAACTTCATCACACTGTCCTGCTGTGGCTGTAGGCCCTTGACCCAGCTGTATTTATTGCTTCCCTAAGCTCCCATTTGCTTAGACAGGGACAGCTGAGTAGATTTTAGAGACTGGGAGTTTTAAGTCATTTGGGAAAACCATGGCAGGAAGGTGGAGAACACAAGCTTAGCAAAGAACATTTTTAACCACAGATGCTTTACTATTTAAATTACTCTGGAGTTAAAAGTATTTGGGAAATAACAATCAATTCTGAATATAGGGCTCTTCTCCCTTTGCATCTAGAGGTCAGAATTCTTTCCTACTTCCTTCCCCATGTGCTTCCAGCTGAGAGTGTACGTTTTCCCAGCCAGCCTTTTGGTGTAGAGTTTATTTTACTTGTAGTCAGTAAGTACTTGAGAGAAAATGGAAATTTGTGTCTATTGTATGTCTTCTGGTGAGTTGCAGTCTTTAGCATGGTTGCACCAGCTGACCTTACCAGGATTAGAATAGTTTTCCACCATGATACTATAATCTTTACGTTGAGATTATAACACAAAGTGAATGTCTCAGTGAAGGTTACAATAACAATGTAGAATGCAGTTTGGCAAACACACCCACTATATTAAAGGAAGTAATAATACAAAAGAGCATTCATAAAAATGCTTCAAAACTTACCAGCAGAGATTTTCATATCTAGTAACATAAATTGTAAATTAGGTAGATTTACTGCATTAGAAAAAGTTAAGAACATTGGCAAGCTATTTGGACTGAAATGAACCTTATAGGAAGGTAAACTAGATTATGTGCAACAGTATCTTTGGAGGCATTGGCAGTGAATCTGGTACATTTATGTTGAAATTTACCCTCAAAGAGGAGATAACATGTTTCTGTTGCCTACTTTTATAGCCCAGAATGTGATCTGTGGGTTAATATTCCTCTCCCTTTAGCTTCTGCCTCCTGCCTCTGCCCCTTGGGGAGGGAGCCTGAAGCTTAGGTGTACAGAGACACTCAGGGGCAGCAGTTTAAGGGGAGGAGGAGTGCTTGGTGTGCAGCCCAATGGAGGGCATGTATTGTTCAGTGCAGGAATGCTGATGTGGGCATTGTGCAGCTTACAAGGCATGCAGTCCAGGGGCTTGCAGCCCCCAGCAACTGAGAAGTTTGATAGGTGTGGTTTAAGGTTTGTGTGTGGTGTGTGGTTCTGTACAGTGGAGCATGCTATCTTTAAATACAGAAGCTATGCTAGTCCGACTGGTTTTAATCCTCTTGATCTAGTTTAGTGAAAGCAATGGCACTTTTTAGTGAACAGGATCTGTTTAGGAATTAAAATGCTTTTCTTCCTTTAATGTTCTTCCATTCTATTTAGAAACCACACAGATTGAAGCCAAGTTATGTGCTATAGAAGATGAACACTTTGATGTTTATCTTTATGTAACAGCACAGGATGAAAAGGTAAGGTATCTTTTACATTTCTGGTTGTAATAGCGTGCAGTTTGTAAGCTGTAAATTTTGTTACTAGTTTAATAAGGATCAAATGCATTTAATCTTAGATGAGCCTCCAGCAGGAGTAGGCAAAATACAGCCCGTGGGCTGTGGATAGGGCCTGCAGAAAGACTTTGACTGGCCTTTGGTCCCACCTGGCTCAGGTGCCATCCAGCTTGTGGTGCCTATCCTGTTACCCCTGGGCACATAGCGTGGCTGGGGCGACTCCTTCCAGTTGCTGCTGGCCGCAGCGCTAGCCCCATGGAGACTGGTGGGGACCCGCACACGCAGCTCCAACCCCAGCTCACCCTGCACCCACTCTGGACCTGCCCTGGCCTGAGTGAACTTGCTCTGAACCAGTTGGGGCCCATCCTGCTTCAGACCAGCCCACCCACGATGAGCAGTGGTGGCTGTGGCCAGGAAGAGTCTGCTGCTGGGTTGGGGTGGGGGGGAAGCCCCCCCCCCCCCCCCGGGGGGGGGGGGGGGGCCAGGAAGAGTTTGCTGCTGGGTTGGGGGGGGGGGGAAAGCCCCCCCCCCCCCCCCGGGGGGGGGGGGGGGGCCAGGAAGAGTTTGCTGCTGGGTTGGGGGGGGGGGGAAGCCCCCCCCCCCCCCCCTTGCTGCTGCTGGGCCCGTCAGGCTGCCCCTGCAGCTCCTCTCTGCTGCTGTCACTGCTGCATCTGGCCCACCAAGTTTGGCAGCAGTAGCAGTGGAGAAGAGCCACAAGACAGCCCGGGCATGGCCTCTGGGCAGTTGAAGCAAGACGGGCCTGTCATGGGTGAGGGGGGGCTGGCTGCTTTTCTCCTGCCCCCAGCAGCAGCTTCTGCCTGGCCACTACTGTTCATTGTGGGCAGGCTAGTCTGGAGCAGGCACAGGGTAGGCCAGGGTCAGGAAGAGAGCTGTGTGCTTAGGTCCTGGCTAGTCTGGAGCTGGTCCACTCTGGCCAGAGTGAGTCTGGAGTGGGCATGGAATGGGCAGGGGCTGTATGCTCAGCTGCTTCTGGGCTCTGGTGGCAGGGAGGAGCTGCAGGGCTCGCAGGCTCTGGGTTTGATGAGCTGTTGCGGGGAGGAGGAGGGAGGTTATGCTGACTGGCCTACAACAGCTCCCCAAAACTGCCAAAGAATTGCCCACCCTTGGCCGACTGTAATAACTTTGGTTAATTATAATAACAGTTAAGGATTTAGTGGGGTTTTTATTTTTAGCTCCTTTTGTTTATAGCTCTCTAAAATGGTCCTGAGAAAATAGTTTTTCATGCTTCTTCCAGTGCCAATCTCTTAAGTTATAGACAGTGACCAAAATCCCAGGTGCATGTTCACTGTACTATGCTCATTTAATCATTACTTATTCACAGAGCCCCATTAATCTTTATATAGTATAAACTTGAAAGTACAGATTGGGCACATCCAGACAAGCATGCATGTTCCTCTTACATCATCTCAAAGCAGTTTGAGACACCCCAAGAGGCATGCTGGGAACAAAAAACACGTTTCCCATGCTGCATATTTGCAGCACCAACTAAATATGATACCTGGAAATCCAGCTATCAAAAAACCCCCCACAGAAAAATGCAGGGTACAGTTCAGGACCGTACCCTGAGGCAAACTGGCAAAACCTCCAGGGGTGCTCTGGTATCTGGCCAGTGTGTCTCTGTGGTGCTTCTGTTGCCTCAGCACACACCCTTAGCCTGTGGGGCAAGGCTGTGGTGGGACCTGGCCTGGGTGCTTTCCCAGGTAAGTAGGGACTGGGGGTGGGGGGGGTGGGCTATGTAGTTTCTGGGGGTGTGAGGAGTGGCGTGGGGGGGCCTCCACATGCCTGCCTCCTCCTCCTCTCTCTTCCCCATGGCGCCGGCTGGGCTGTGCCTGTGGCAGTGCTGCTGGACCCATGGTTTGTGTGGGGAGAGTGGGCTCAGTGGGACCTGACCCAACCTGGCACGGCTTGCTAGTGCACCTTTGGACGAGACCAAGACACACGCCTCCTGTCCAAAGGTGCACTCCAGCTGGGTCGACTGAGTTGGGTCGTGTCAGGCTGGGCCCATTCTCCATGTGAGTCGGATGGTGATATGCAGCCACATGGCCACGCCTACAACGGGTCATGGCACCTTGCTGCCTGACCCTTATGGAGAATGGGCCTGTCCTGATGTGACCCGGTCTGCCCAGCTACTGTGCACTTTTAGACGGGAGCTGCGCGTCCTGGAGCTAAATATCTTAAGCTAAAATATGACTGTGACCATCTGATCCTCCTACCACTTGTTTTAAAAACTGAATCTTTTATGGGATGTCTTGTGCTACCTTTGGCTTTGTTTTTAAACAAAAAACAAAAGTATTCTTACAACTCTGGACTGTTCAGGACAGTAGAAATCCAGAGCTTTGCTCATGATAATCACTATTGTGTTATTAAGTGGTACTCAGTAGTCTACCATTTTAGTAAAATTACAAACAAAAACACCATAAAATGCTATACATCTTCTCAGGAAAAGCTTTCTTATTTGAGGAATCTTAAAGACCATTGACTTGAATGAAACTCTTCATAACTTTAGGCCTGTACATTGTTCTACAACAGGAACTTCTTTTTTGATATGAACGATGAGTGCATAATTTATCTGTCCTACTCTTTAGCTCTTTGAATATATTCATAGTAAGAGCTCAGTTTATTTGCAGGGTTTGGTTTGGTTTGGTTCTTTAAGCACATGCAAACTAAGTAGGTTGTGAACCATGCAGATACAAATGATCTGGCTTCTACTGGCACTAGATTACATTGAGTGAAATATGTTTTTAGTATGCTGCAACTTCATAGCCAAATGAATGAGTTGGATTCTGTTTGTTTTTGTGCATCTTCATAATAACATATTTCCAAGTTTTACTCCTTTATGTCTTTTTTAAATACCCACAGTTGATGGAAGCTGTGACAGTGTAATCCATAACTAACTTTATTTGGAGGTAGTGGGCTTATACAGATGTACCTGAGTGCATAGTTTGGTTTGCTGTCACTGATAGGTGATGACAAGAAGTGAAGAAGTCAGCCTGATGTTCTGATCAGTTTTAAATTTGTAAGACTTGAAGAAAAAGATGTAATTGTGAACTTAGAATATTTTATACAGTCAATGTGGTATGTACCAATACAACTTTAACAAGTTACTTCTCAGAATAGTAACTCTAAAATGCCAAAACACTTACTATGGCCATTCCTGATACTCTGCTGAAACTGCCCACAGATGTATATTCTGTTCAGCCTTTTTTCCTCTGCATGCAGGTCTTCTAATATATTCTAAAATATAAATGGATTTCTTTTTAAAAATTTATTACCACTTCGTGCTTCATCATATATAGGAAAACTTTTGTCTTTTAGGTATGTGTTAATGATGAACTTGTTGCAAAGAACTTTGCTTGTTATATGTCTACTGAAGAGAACACAAATAATCCTGCAAATAAACCAAGCAAGCAGTCCCCATTAAGTCTTGTGGGTTTTCCAGAAAAAGTGATCAATCCTGTACTTGCTCTTTGGCCAGTGCTCTTACAGGGAAAGGCACCCAAAAACCTAAAAACAGGTGAGCATAATGTTTATATGCTGATTTCTGAAGTGTGGTCTGGTATGGCATGGCATGGCCTCTAGACTTCAAAAAAAACCCCAATCAAACACTATTTTGATTGGTACCCATATGACAACTCGAGTTCAAGTTGCACGTGTGCATTTAAAATTCCACTGTGGTGAATGGAGGGGATGGATATACATAAGAATGGAGACTTGGGTGGTGGTATGTCTTAAGGTGTATAAATTACCCCTGAACGTGCACAGAAGTCATAAAGTAGGAGTGGCCCAACCATTGCTCACATTTCTTGTTTGTAGTCCGTATAAGATGGAGCTACTAGTTCCAGTGCCTTGATGTACTTACTTCAGTTCACTAAATACAGCTTAGAATTAGTCATTTTCAGTTTCCCCCCCCCCATATTAACACATTTTAATAGATTTTTAGTCCTTTTCTCTTCAGTTCTGTCATGGTACTGGTAGTTGGGAAATGTCCCGTTCTACATCTCCAGTTCTTGTGAGGGCATAGGACTTAGAAATGATGGGCATACTAACTGCTCTTTTAGTTTGGGAAAATCCAGTGCCCCCAATAAGTATACTATCTGCAAATACCATTCCAAAAGGACTTCAAAGAGAAGTTAGTTTGAAGATGTCTTTTTTCATTGTTCCATAAATCTGTTTTCAGATTCTTGGGCAACTTCTACCTAACTCCAAGAGAGCTTAGTCTTCTAAGTTTCTTTTGGTAGTGACTGCATTTCTGTGGGCTAAGAGCAGAGCTGTCCCTTGGGACAGGGTGGGGAAGCCGAATTGGGGCGACTGCCCCAGGGGGCCCCATGGACAGTGTCAAGGGCGCCACCACTCTGCTGGCTTTGCGCTCTGGCCATTTTCCACTCCTTGCTCCGTGCTCCAGCCACTTGCTGCCACCTCCCCGCACAGGCTGATGTGCCCCAGGCTCTGCATGCCACTAGGGTCAGCCCTGCCTAAGAGGAGGCTGAACTTCATACACTGTTTCTATTTGTTGGCATCACCTCTGTGGATTATGGGTCTCTTAAATCTCATTCAGCCCTTTTTTATTTTGAAACTTGAGCTCCCCTTATTCCCCCTGTCTGTTTTCTGGTGTATCCATTGTGCTTATTAGTACTGAAGACGGCTTGCACTTTCTCTTTCTCAGAAGATCTGTAGTGTCCCCTGTTTCTGCTTCTTAGGGATCAGCTGCTCTTCTAGAGGAATTACATTCATTAACTTCTTGTTGTTGATCCTCTCCTTCCTGCCTGTCCTTTCTTTCCCTAACTGTTCTACTGCTTTCTTTGAAAAGACTTGTTTTTGCTGCAGTAATCATGTTTTGGGAAGATCTCGTGTACTTTAGCATATTACACTGGCACCGTCTGCCTACGCCTTAGGGCAGTGGTTTTCAAACTGTTCTGAGAGCCCTGGGTTTCTGCAGTAGGTCATTAGGAGTTCTGCAGAGAAATTGAGGATCAGCTCACATGGTCTGTGGAACCAGAGGCAGGGGTTCTGTGGCAGAAAAAGTGATACGAAAGTGTTTTGTGACTTTTTAGCAAATTTGAAAACCACTGCCTTTGGGCATGGCTGTCGCTGTTTTTAGCCTTAGTTCAGCTATTAACAGTTCATTCCATGACTTGCCTCCCTTCTGTAATTTGAGATTCATGGATAAAATAGTCTCTGCCCAAGGTTCTGTCTGTGGGATTTCAGATATTTCAGTGTTAGACCTCACCAGTAATTAAGAAATGTCAAGGACAGTTATGAGGACCAACATATACACTCATCATTTTCCTAATCCCTTGAGTCTGTTAGATCTTTCTAGGGCTGGTCTGGAAAATGGTATACACCATAGAGATTCCCTTTGAAGCTACTTAAAAGACACAGATATTAAAGTGATTTGTTACTTTGTAGAAACATCTAGTCACATTTATTGTGGGTTATTCTGTTAATTGCAGCTTGTTATGGACTTGTCAGACTGCTGCATCAATCTCTGTCACATGTAAAAATGCAGACTGTGCAACCAGATTTCCTGTACCAAATTCCCTTAAGTGTAATATGGTGTAGGTGTTTTTGTGGCTGGTGACTATGGTACATGAAAAAGCAAAATTGCCATGTAGCGTCTGTGTGGAAAAAGCTTAAATTGATCTGCTGAGGTGTATCAGTTTCCTCTTTAGTTTTGTATAGTCAGCTATTGCACATTTCCACATTGAATTAAATATTTAGCCTGAATCTTATAGCTAAATAAGGAAATGTGTCAAGCTTCCAGAGACTAGTTTAGAGCACTTGCTTTTTTTTTTGCACATCATCTGGCAAAGGAAGGGCTCATGTTTTTCCATGAGTGTCATGACTTTACCTTTCCTATATTGAAATAAGCGTCCATGCTGGGATTTCTACATTTGATGAAACAAATGAGTGACAGTTGGAACAGCTCTGTCCTTTTTTAGGTCTTGCCTTGAGGACATAAGACTATGGCAATGGATATGTTTGGCTAAAAGCTTACAGGCTCATGTATACACCTGCAGTAGGCTCTGTGAACAAAATTAAGTACTGTGTTGTTGTTTGTTGGGTCATTAAAGCAAGATTATCTACCTATGTTTTTGAAAGTGCATGTCATGTGCCATGCGCACAAGACAGGCTTAGGAATATCCACACCTGAAAAAACGCAGACAAATGTTTTAGTGTAAACAGTGTAATTAGAACACATTTTGTTCTTTCAGTTCCTAGATAGCTTAAGTGGCACTCCACTATAGATTATAATGTGTTTTTTACATGCATTCTGGTAACTTTATAAAATACAAAAAGTCTTTTTAGGAGTTTGTTACCAGTGATTTCTGCTGTAAAATGTAATTATTTGCTTCTTTTAGGGCACACTGCTTCAAATCCTCTTCTGGAAAAGAATTGTAAAAATCTTTCAACTACATCTTTTAATGGACATATGGAGTCTGTAAGTATTCTACTCCATTTACTTGACATTTAAAATTTGCATTAAGTGTTTCATAGATAAGGCCAGAAGGGACCATTGTGACTAATTACTTTGATCTCCTGTATTTCACATGCCATAGGACTTCATTGGATTCATTATTAAGCTGAATAATGTTTTAAGGAAAAAAACATCTAGTCTTGATTTAAAAATTATTAGTCTCCAAAACCTGTGTTGTTATTTCAGACTCCCTAGCTGCTTCTTCCAGCCCCTGAATCTTGCTGTTCCATTGCCTGTTAGATTGAAGAGCTTTTTAAGTGTCTATTTTCCAGCCTTTTTTTCCATAGTCTAGTGGTACCTGTACACTAGTGTAGAGGCTGCTCTGACACACTGTAATTACAGTGCATTGGAACAAACTTGATGAATCGAGTCTGCTGGAGCATGGTAATTGCAGCACTCCCACAGTTTCCCATGTCTCGTGTATAAGTGTCCCTGCTCTTCAAAATGGCAGGGCACTTTAGCTTGTTGAATGAGCTTTTTGAGCACCCTGCTGCCATTTTGAAGCTCAGGGGTGCTGATACACAAGACAATGTGGTGCTTTAATTGGGGCAACTCTTGGAGCTGCTGTAATTGAAGTGCTGCCCCCCATTTAGAACACGTGTAAAACTACCTTAGAAGGTTATGACCAGTTGGTATCCTTCACAACTCCCAATATCTCTTTTGAGTCGGTGCATCCCAGGATAAATACATTTCCTACTCCTGTGCCTACATTCTTTAGCTCTAGGTATATGACTCTTGGATTTGGATATGTTGAGACATGTTTGCTTGCACAAAGCTTACCAAACAATTTAGATAGCTCTGTCGCTGTGACTTGTCCAGTTCATTAATTTTTTGTTCCTCTAGTATTAGTTTCATTTGCAGCCTGTGAATTTTCTTTAAGGTCACTGTTACACAATTCTTAAAAACTGTAGTGTAGAGCTAAATAATTTTGGCTTTTTCCCCCACTACAACTGTACTAGCTTTATAAGAACTTTGTGCTTACTGCCGCATTTTTAGATCTGTCATTTAGCCAGCTTTTAGTCCTTCAGTGTGTTTCATGTTCTTAATCAAAGTATTAAATGCTTCCAAGTCAGAAGCCTTACATAAACCTGTTGCATCAAAACTAATACTCTTATCAATAGAGGAAAAACTTGACAGGCTCTGTTCTCTGCATCCCCTTTAGTTGACATTGTTTACTATTTTTCCAGTCTTAAGTCTCATGAATCCTGTTACTATTTTGCCCACAATTCTTGTCAGGCCAAAAGCCTGTCAAAACTTAGTTTGTTTGTCTATTTGTTTTGTTTATCCTTTTTGTTGGAAAACGTGTTTGTCTAAAATCCTGCTTTAGAAGTCATTCAGAAATTGTTTCTAACTGGTTTTGTTTTCTTTCTTCTTAGACTGTTGGTGTGTTTCTGGGCTTTCCTTTTAAAGAACATATAACTATTTCTGGTCAGACAGACAGGTATGACTAAATACATTTTAAATTTTTTTGTGTCTCTTATAATGCACCTGCTTAAGTATAAATTTTCAGCTAAAGTTCCTATACCATTAAAATGAGATCTAGCATTTGTGGGAAGAAGTGCGGTCTTACTTTGACTGGTTCAGATGTAAAGTAAAACTAATGCTTCTCTTTAAATGAAAAGAGTGACTTGTCTATTATTAAGGTCCAAATTAAGATGTTAAATTTGCATTCTGATATGTGTGTATATAGAAGTTAAGTGTGTGTTCAGTACCCTTTCTGATTGGGACCCAAGTCTGGTTTATAATGTTTATGGATATATGGAAATACAAGTAATTTTGCTTTGTTAAATGGCTAGATGTAGCTTAGCTGGACAGATAGCCAAATGTAATACTTTCATTACCCTTGATTTTTATTTCTGGTCTTCTGTAGTGAGATTTGTGCCTGTGTTAAAGTTTATTCATGAGATGACTTCTTTATTATAGTGACTTACTTGAAATCATATGTAAGAAACAACTGAAAAAGGTAGAACATGATGAAAAGAGTGGCTGTGTAAAGTACGTATATTCCTCTTTGGTTTTTTCCTTCTTTTGTACTTTTATTTTTAATGCCTAGTGTGTGATAAATTCCAGGCAAGTTGAAGCACCTGATAACAAACTGATAACTACAAAGCAATATGTTTCCTGTTTTGAAACCTTGTAAGCCCTTTCACTTCAGTTTGATTCAGTTTTCCCTAACTGAAGAAATAACAGGCCATCATATAAAGGCTAGTTCTCTTAGTTTTCATTTACATCCGAGGCCAGTGTCAAACATTGTTTTAATATCGGTGATTTTTCTTAATAAAATTTCTGCAGCTATGGAAAGGGAATTTTCAAGTTTTAGGGTTATAATAGATACTTTGAGAGAGAATGTTTTTAGTATTCCTTTCGTGTTTAATTACTAATGGATTTAGATCTGTATACTTTGCAGGCTTCTGCAGTTTTTAAATCCTGATCCTTCGAAAACAGATCATTTTGAGAATGAGAAACAGGTATTTCAGAACTTGGCTTTGTTTAACACTGTATACACTTATCTTTGTTTTTTAATTTTCAATTGTTCATTAGCATTAATAATCAAGAATAATGTTTTAAAATACACCCGCAGAGGGGTGCTGCTGCCCTTGTCCCTGCCCGGCCCTGCTTCTGGGAGGCGGAGATAGGAGGTGGCGCACTTCCCACCCACCTACGTGTACTCTCTGGGACCTTCCCACATACTCTCAGTTGACCAACCCTGCTTTAAGGTGCTGTTTGTTTTAATGCTGCATTCAAGTGGGAATATCTAGAAGCACTGAAGTTTGCTGATTTTTGTAATCTTTTGTACGATTACCATATTTACTTGAATCTACGCAAATAAGCTGATTAGCATGGGGGGCAGGGGGGGAAGCCTCTGGTCTTAGATTTATGTACAGAGTGCAGGGGGGAAGGAGGGGGCATGCATCTGTTGCAGCTCCAGCTCTGGCCCTGAGTCCGGGTTGGCAGCCAGAGTCAGACAGAACAGCTGCCTGCCCCACTCTTTTGCTTGCCCTATGCAGCTTCTGCCTTCATGCTCCCCCAGCCCCCCCCCCACCTTTGACTGTTGGATGGATGTAGCTTGGCTCCAGCTGAGGGTGCCTTCCCTCTTGGGCATGAAGTATACATAGAAATTACCCTGCCCAGCCAGTCAGCAGTGCTGACGGTGCTGCATAGCCTAGCAGGGAGCATGCTTCCTCATACTATGCTCTGTGACCTGGGATGAAAAAGAACCAGAGCAGTGTCTGACAGTAAGCAGGGCAGGGAAGGGGCAGAGACTAGGGAGTGGAGAGAAGGGGCAGAAGCTGTGGAGGGCTGTGGTTTGGGGGTACAAACTGTTCAGGAAGGACAGGCAGGGGAGAAAAGGAGAAGGAGTTGAACT